ACAGAGGAGACTGGTCTCCAATACATACCACTGTAGAATTATTTCACCTTAAGTTTACCTCACGTCAATACTGCACATGGAAACCAAAGACTTGCTGGTTTACATTTTGAAGCCAAGCAAAATAAAATATTTTAGTACCTTTTCCTTTTTTTTCTTTTAACAATAATATCCTTAGCAAGTAGCTGTCCTTTTGTACTGTATAAAGAAGAATGTGAACACAAATGTGATGGCAACCTTTTTTTAAAGTTCAATTAAAAACTTTACACTGGACTGTACAAGATATTATGATAAACTATTTACATTTTCAGAATTAAAACTTTTTTTCAAAGCAGCAACAGACACTATTTCATTTTCTCTAGTTACGCCCAAACAATACCTGCCATGGGCCTAAGTACCTGCCAAGAAATTGATTTCTACGCAGAAAACTGTATCAGGCTGCCAGGGGTTTCAAAACAGCAACAGCCCCAGCGACAGAAGAGCCACACACAGTGTTGCTTGAGAGACAAAAAAGAAATCTAGAAAGCAAAGTACCATTGACAACTGTATAAGTTGTCCCCAATAGCACATTTTACACTCCTGAACAGCAACTAGCATGTCAGTCCAGCATGTCAGTGAATTGTGCTAATTAAATTAACACAGAGAACATTCCCACCATATACATCACAAAGTTCAATGACAGAAAGAATAATTACAGTTAAGTTATTAAAACAGCATACAAGCTTTGTCTTCAGTTGTTGAATCTTGTTGGCATTTACATGGCTGAGAGACAGATGGATGAATAGAAAAAGTCATGACTACACTTTGCTGATGGCTAGATGGGCTACCTTTAAAAAAGATCAGCAACACATAGAGAAGGACAAAAAGGGTCTAGGCTAGAATACACACTAGTGGCTCTGCATTGTGCCACATTAAAACTAATAAATATTTGCACACTCCCTCCAATTTCAGCTCCCCAAGAACCTCACTTGTGTAAAATTGTCAATTAATAAAAATCCCCTTGGTTCATTCTAATTTTAAATGTAACAAATGCATGCAGATGTGCCATTACAATGTAGCTATAAATTTATGCTACTATCAAGCCCTCCGTTCAAATTTGGCACATTAACAGTATAACCACTGAGGGCTGTGAAGTGATGACGTATGTCGCTAGGATTGAGTCATGATTGCAAACACACATTGTATAATAAAAACATATACATCTTAACTGCTTGTTGTTCAGATGAATTTTAGCAATGTCCCTATGAAAGATACAGAGTACCTTATTTGTACCGACTGTGCATGTTATTAAATAAAAATGAAGTGATTTATTAAAAAACGTTTGTCCTTAATGTATAAGCCTAAGGAGTACAGCTTGGGTTTTGATTGGCTCCTTGAATTGTCTGAGGGAGGTCATTGAAACGCTAGCAAGAAGGGGCCTGTCTGTCTATCTCAGCTATAGTTTCGTCCAATACTGCTCTCTTCAACCGGGAGAAATATTCAGCATCTACATGAGGTACAGTGACTTGTCAGTTTTATGAACATGGATCAACATACACTGATGTAAAAAAGGAAGAAAAAAAATAACAGTCAAATACATAACTTATACTTCACTAAGCACTTATGAACAAAAATATAATTCTATTTCCTATGTTGTATTTACAATAAAATCTATAATGAGATGGTGAATTTATTGAAAAATGAAGCTCCAATTCATTAAACATCTGTTTTTTTTCTTTCTCTCTGATTGTCCTTTCATTATGTTCTACTGACAATTTTAGAGCCAACAGTGGCTAATAAATACAATAAAATGTCTATACTCACTATATCGCTTCAAATACAATATACAACACAAAACATATGTGACCAATAAAATGGGTTTCTGAAATCTGGTGTTTCTCAGCTAACCAGTTACTATGTAAGCCTTCTGTCGAATTTACTGCTCAGTCTCTCTCTCGTGCGCTGTCTCTCTCCCCTTGGTGGCCCTGGAGCTTAGACAAAGTGTTCATTCACTACACAAGTCTTTGCATAAATAAACAAAACAAGTAGACTGAAAAATTATTCAAATCTGGTAACTGTGAGAACGAGCCCACAAGTCCAACTCGTCGTGACTTTTGTTCATTCAGGTTTTTTTCTGGTACAACAGCTTCACATTAGTCAGAATTGATAAAAATACAATTTATATCCAGTGCTTATAACACTTATGAAACATTGTCTCCTTGCGAGATATAAGTTATTTTTTGTTATTTTTTGTTATACAAGCGCAGTCAAGTTTCAGTCCTATCAACAGGCCTTTTTTAACTACCAACCCACTGAATTGGTTTGGCATGGTCATAAAAATATGTACAAATCACGTACAAATCAACCAATCAACCAGCAAACAGAAGTAACAGCTTAAAAATCCTAGATATGTTGACCTGGAGGGAAATCCGTTTAGGTTTGTGTATGGGAGGAAATCCTAGAAAAAAGCATTGTACCTTAAAACAACAATAGCAACAAAGAAACCAAACAACCAAAAAAGAGAGAAAGAAACTGAAATGGAAATGAATAATGAGGTGCTTAAAAACTTCTAAGACTTAAGATAAATGCTTTCAAACGTGGACACAACACAATAAAAGCCAGCTCTGAATAGGTCAAGAAAAATTAAAAGTACTAAAGAGCCATCTGTATCAATTAGACCTGGGAGAGTAATGCAGTGACCAGCAGTAGGAGGGAGTCCTGGCCATGCAGACAGCCAGCGCTGGTGACCAGCCATTTAGATCCTTTTAAACCTCTGGGCTTGGTCTGAAAAAGACAGGTTCAAGGGCACGGGAGGAGAATAGCCAGGCTCATGCATTAATAATGCTGCATTTGAGATGATACCCACTCGTCAGTCATTTTAATAATCCCCCACAGCTTGATGTACTTGTTCCATCTGCTCGCCAGCGCCTAGTGGCTGGGCCAGGGCGGGAGCCGGGGTGGAGGCCTCACTGCCTGCACTTTGATGGAGAGCACAATAAGCGCTACGTGCCCGTCCTTATTGTTCCCCCTCTCTCCACTCCCCAGCCTAGCGCTGCCTGCCACTCTGAGCCAGATGGCACCCCCTGGGTGTGGGGGTTGCCATGGGCAGGGGTCGGGGTCGAGACAGGGCAGGGGCAGGGCGGAGAGGGAGGCACTTAGTCCTTCTGGCCTGTAGGAGGGCTATATTGTGGACAGTAAGGCCTTGACTGCTGGCCATCTCTAGCTGTTTCTCCATAAGGTATCAACCTGGGATCTGTTCAGCTGATAAAAGGACTGTTCAAGAGGTAAAGGTCTTTCAGTTTGTGACGGATTGTCACAAGATTAAGCGCTGATTGATTGTGTTACGTTTCATATTCATTGTCTGTATGTAAATACAATACAGAAGTGCATGTTCAATTGCTCTGGCCATTATAAAACAACACAAATGTTGTTCAATGTAAAGTATTCACTTAGATGAAGTAGTAAGTGTTAATATGTAAGTGCATCAATGTAGAGAATCACCATCACAGCTCTGGTGTGGCTTATGAATGAAATACTGTTGTGTTTAATGTGATTTGTTAGAATGTAATACTTTGTCTGTAACCCTCCTTTAAATAAAAACATGACATTATTCCCTCACACACTGCCTCTTCTCTTAAGACTGCTGCAGTAGTTAACTCTGCTTTAAGACCTTCTCGTGTCAATTTAAGATTTACAATGTCGAAAAAAGACTTAAGATAAAAAATAAAAAGAGTTTTAAGACCAAAGACTTTAAAACTTGCCGCCCCAGTAGGGGCTAAAGTGTTTAACCGAATGTACTGTAGCTACACATTGTAAAACAGCAATTTGTGATTGTAATGCCCCCAAAGCTGCCTTTCGCTGCCTTTCCAATCCCACAGATTGGATGCCTTTGGCCCCTTGGAATACTGGCCTGATTACAATCACTCTGATTAAGAAGTTGGTAAGACTGAGTTGGAGAGTGAGCAGAGAGTGTGAGGGGAGTGTTACAGTGCTCTGTGTTAGACTGGCCTGGTGACATGAGCTGGAGAGGGACAGGGAGAGGAGAAGGGCCTGTTGGTCACCGCATTGGTCTCCATGGAGAACAGCTGCCATTATGCACAACCACACCTGAAGCTATTGCATCACTTCCTGTTCCTGGCCTAGACACAGTCCACTGTCTCCAGATTCCTGAGTGTTTCAATATAGAAGGTATATAAAGAAACTGGATTTTGAAGCCGCACTAAGATATTAAGAGATTGTCTAAGACTCAAGTCTCTCCCTCGAGACTCAAACTAATTATTTAAGAGAAAAGAACGTTGAAATGTTTGGCACATCTGCACAACATTGTACAGTATGTTAATAATAACAATAATAATTATAATAATTATAATAATAATACTAATACAATTAATAATAAGGGAGTCTGATTATGTCCCAGAATTGTGGAATTGTTCTGTTTGTTTGTTTTTAGTTAATATGAATTTCCGAATATTTTGTTCTCTTAATAGTTTCAAATAAATTCAGATTTAAAACATTCACAAGCTGTTGGCTGACACAGCATACCTGAGTGAGAATATATAACTCCCATCAAAAACAGTAATGAAATCTATTAAAAGCATTTAACTGAAGAGAAAAAAAATATGTATATCATAAGAAAAAAAGTAAGACTGTAAGAATTATGGATTCATTTCAAATGTTACATTTCAAGTCCTGTCATCCAAAGTTGTATAGGCAATACCCTAAGTGTGTAAATGTCCATGAACAAAACACAAAAAATAAACGATGAGATAATAAAATAGGAAATCCAAAATGAACTAAACCAAACTGCTTCACACACTGTAAGAAACATTTAAGACCGATAGCTGTTGATTCTGACGGAGCCACATATGCATGCAGGCTCCTAAATGATACATCATCAGAACAATTATTTTTTTTGTTCTGTATTTTTTTGTTATTCTGTTTCTCCTCCTTCAGTCAGTCTTCCACCCTGGGGATGGTTCTCCAGTATGAATGTGTGTATGTCTTGGCTCAGGTGTTGAGAGGCCTCAGTTGGCGCTGACGATGGGCTCCAGTGTCTCAGTCTCACTGCTGTAGTCCGATTTGGGCTCCTCGTCAAAGTCCTCATACATGTCCATCTCATCTACCACTCCGTTGATGATGGGGTCGTTGGTTAACATGGCAACGGGCTCTATCTTCATGTTGTAGGTGCTCTGGATGACGGGAATGGCCGGCTCCGGGCTCGCTGAGGCGCTGGAGCACTCCGACGTCATATGAGGGGAGGGTGTGGTCGTTGCCATGGTTATGGCCCCAGGGTAGACCACGCCGGCGCTGGTGCTGATGGGGATCTGCGGTTGTTGCCTGTAGAGAGAAAATAAAGGACAGCGAGAGAGAGAGAGAGAGAGAGAGAGAGAGAGAGAGAGAGAGAGAGACTATTAGACAAGTTTGTTCCTGTTTCATCGTTATAATCAATACTTAATTCTCTTAACAATATCAGTTCTGTGTTCTTTCTTTAGATGGAAAAAGGCTTTACTTCAAATATGTATAAAGGAAAACAATTAGAATCACATGGGATGAGCAAATGGAAAGAATGCTGACAGTGTGTGTGCCGCTCGAGTCAACCCTAAAGACGCCTCCACTTCAGCACTTAAACTGAGAGAGCTAGCTGGATTAAGTGTTCTCCACAGAGGTGTGTTCTCAGCCAATGGTTCTGTGAAAATGATTTGGGAGAACAGTTGTCCAGACAGCACCGTTCTGAGTCGTTCTGAAACAGCACCCAGTTTATTGGTAACATAAAGCCGATTGGTGGTTAGTGCGCTCTCTCTCTCTCTCATCTGGTGTTTTAGCAGTGATTGATACTCCAGTGATCGCATAGCTTACGGGTGATGAGGGAACACCTGGAGAAGCCTTCTCCTTACTGACCACACACAGTAAATTAGGGAGTTAAGCTCCAGACAGCTGCCCTCCAGCCCTCTGTAAATCTATACTTATGCTTTATATCCTGTAATAATGTCGGCATCTCTTTCTCTGCTATTGCAGTCGGCTATTGTCTCAAATTGATAAATCACTACTATTAAAAAACACTTGACAGTAAAGTGGATGAGGAAATGTGTTTGACTTGGGGTTTCATTAATGCTCCGCAAATAGGTTGGAAATTGCGTACGACGAACTATCACCACCGTCATCACTACACGTGGAGAAAGAAAGAACACGTTTTTTTTTACGGAAAAGGGAAACTAGTTAAAACGTTATTCATCTATTGTGAGGGCTGTATAACATACATGATTTAACGGGTTGATCAATTGGGTTGATTCGAAGGTCAGGGGCTTAGTGTGACAAGTTGGCAGACACACTACAACCATATTTAGTGTAAGCACAGTGAATAGAGTCTGTTCTCAGGCAAAAAGCCAACTGATTTCAGAATAGTCATTTAGCTGTGTGTCTACGTGTGTGTGTCGCGCCTGTGCTCTAAGCTTGCTGTTCTTCACTGTGCACCTACCCCACAGTGAAGAACTGCCTCATCTCTTGCCGTCGTGAGCGCATCATCTGCTTGTACTCGCCGATGCGGAGCTTCTTCCCGTCGATGATGCAGGTCCTCTTGGGCCGGGGCTTGTACTTGTAGTTGGGGTACTTCTCCAGGTGGATCTTACTGAGACGGGCCTGCTCCTCATAGAACGGCTGCTTCTCCTGGTTGGTCATAGACTTCCAGCGAGAGCCTGTAACACAGCACGGCACAGACACACAGATATCAGTAAGACATACACTTTGAACGTACATTTTCACTACAGAGGTGTAAAAAGGACTTTGGAATAATATCAATGGATTTCATTAGTTAATAAGAATCAATAGATATATCAATGCAAATGAGAGTTTCCATTGTGGATACAGTATATTATTTTGTGGTCTCTGTAGCTGGACTGTGGGTGAGTTAACAGAAACTACATCAGGCCTGTAAATAGTCTCTAGCTGCTCTCTAGTGTGTCCTGCTCCTGCTCCTGCCTGGGTGACGCCACTTTTAAAGGCTGTGATCTATTGACGAGACCCATTTAGCCACTGTCATTTTTCATGACAAACACTGACGGCAGTGACATGGAGGTAAATCCATCTGTAAGCCAGGGCTGATTGAGCCACTGTGGCGAATCAGACAACATGCCACCCCCTGCCTCAACCCCTGCTCCCACTGGTACCGGGCTACAGATGTTTATGTCCACATAGACAGGTATTAACCACAGTGGGCTTCAGTTATCACAGAGCACACTAGATTCATTAAACACACCTCAATGAGCATAAAAGTCATTAAGAGATTCAAACTGTTAAAGGTTTTAAGTTATACCCTATCTGAATCAAACGTGCTGTTGGAAAAACCTGACTTTTTAATGCGGAGAACAAATATTTTCGACATATCACTGAATGACTGTAGATTTCAACTCTGGACCGCCAGACCGTTGAGTCTCCCGTCACGAACAGTAACGTGTTTGATTCTGTCCGCCAGGCCATTTGCCTCCACAGTGTTTCACTGTTTCATGAATGGCGTTCTGTTTCTTCTTGTTGTTAACATAGTGGTTTAAACACTACACGTTTATCACTATTGCCAACAGCCAAACAGCCTAGTGTTTATACCCAGCTGAGGGGAGATTTGTGGGAGAGAGAGAGAGAGAGAGAGAGCGAAAGAGGGGGGCTGTTGAGGAGGAGTACACTGCACCAGGCCTTTCAAAAGGGAAGCTGCTTTTGGGCTCTTGCTATTATTTCACTTCATTGTGCTTAATAGGGAACATTTAATTTTAACAAAAGCCTACAACATCATTTAATAGTAAACTGATTGTATCAAGTATATAAGGACTGTTTTTTTCAGAATCTATGGGAGACACAAAGTTCTCATTGACAACCCTAAGAACACTAGTTTCAACAAAACTATAAAAAAATATATTTTCATGCCAGTTTTCTGACTTTCTGACCAAATCCGATCCTGTTCCTTCCAACTTGGTCTGAATTTAAATTTTAAAAAACATAATCTAACACAGGAAGGCTAACAGACTGTACATACTCTGTAATGGCTGGATGAATGAGAGAGGAATGGCTGGAAGAGAGAGAGAGGAAGAAGAAAGGCTTACCCAGGATCTTGCTGATGTTGGAGTTGTGCATGTCTGGGAAGGCTTGGAGGATCTTGCGGCGCTCATCTTTGGCCCACACCATGAAGGCGTTCATGGGTCTCTTGATGTGGGGCTCGTTGCTGTTCCTCCCCCGGGCTTCCCTGTAGACCCGCGCCTCGGCTGTGCTGGCGCCTCCTGTAGGCCAACAATAATACTGTTGTGGTTTATCTGCTCCGGTACCAGAGCCATTCAGAGCTTTCCACCCTGGAAACACCAGAGTAGGAACAAGAAGGAGAAGAGAGAGCGAGGCGAGCAATTAATTAACTGCCACGAGCCACGTTCAACCCTTATACCCCATGGGCTGTCATCACTACTACTGAGACTGAGACTGGGGCTGGACTGAGACCAGACCAGGGGTAGGGTAGGGTTGGTGCTGGGGCTGGACTGAGACCAGACCAGGGGTAGGGTAGGGTTGGTGCTGGGGCTGGACTGAGACCAGACCAGGGGTAGGGTAGGGTTGGTGCTGGGGCTGGACTGAGACCAGACCAGGGGTAGGGTAGGGTTGGTGCTGGGGCTGGACTGAGATCAGACCAGGGGTAGGGTAGGGTTGGTGCTGGGGTTGGACTGAGACCAGACCAGGGGTAGGGTAGGGTTGGTGCTGGGGCTGGACTGAGACCAGACCAGGGGTAGGGTAGGGTTGGTGCTGGGGTTGGACTGAGATCAGACCAGGGGTAGGGTAGGGTTGGTGCTGGGGTTGGACTGAGACCAGACCAGGGGTAGGGTAGGGTTGGTGCTGGGGCTGGACTGAGACCAGACCAGGGGTAGGGTAGGGTTGGTGCTGGGGCTGGACTGAGATCAGACCAGGGGTAGGGTAGGGTTGGTGCTGGGGCTGGACTGAGACCAGACCAGGGGTAGGGTAGGGTTGGTGCTGGGGCTGGACTGAGACCAGACCAAGGGTAGAGTTGGTGCTACACTACAAGGTGAAGGAAATTGAGCTCTCAAGCTTCCTTTCCACTGGACCAGACTAGCCCTGACGACTGGATTTGACGACCGTGTTTTGAATGTAGAACAAGTGGACATTGTGAGAGTAGGGAAGCCACCCTACGGATCAAAAAATCTATCCAAACCCAAAAGAAGAGAACCATGACTTAAATGCCTGTTAAATATGTTGTCTGGGGCTCTACAAGCATTCACACTTCTATATTCAGCCCCATGTGTTTCAAACGGAAGTTCCAGAAGTTTCTTTCAAACAAGCAGGAATGCCAACTTAAATAACAAATATGGTGTGAGGCAGTCCTTATAAGAAAAATACAATCAAGGAGGGAAGAGACTCTGCCAAGTGCTTAATATAACATTCTTCTTCTTAGCCCATCCCCGCCGAACCCCCCCCACCCCACCCCACCCCATGCACACAACACACACATTTAGTGAGAGATGAGAGCGTGCCGACACACACAGAACTCCTCAGTAAAGTGCTGTTTCTCAATCAGGCCATTCACAATCAGCATGTGAGAAGAGTCTCTCTCTCTCCATATTAAACTGTACATCAGCCTGATAATGATTTCTGTTTGCATGCGCATTTTCTTCCTTTTATATGTAAGATGTGAAAGAATTAAATAAAAGCCGTATGAATATTTAAACAAACAAAAACATGTTGATAAACAAGGCCTGAAAAATAAGACAAAAAAAGCTTTCCATATGCTACCATCCATCTTTAATGATCCAAAATCTGGAAAGGAAAGCTTGGGATGACTCATGCATATTTCATCATCCACATGTGAAGTGTTCTCATTAGGATCTTGTACTAGCCCTCCATCTTGGCACACGTTACCTGCGGTTTGAGTTCTATTATTATTTCAGTTGATAAACAAAATCAAACTGTTAATGAGTAATGGAGCGTAGCGCTACTCTGTGATTAATTCACTATACACAGACTCATTCACTGGCTCTATTCAGCACAGTGCAGAGATAAGCCCTGAAGTAAGACATGGCGAGAAGGGGACTGGTTCAACTTTAGATAGAGCTTTAACTATCTATAGGCGACTGTTTAAGGAAACAGCAGGTGAGAGACAACACATATGCATGCACGCACACACACACACACACACACACACACACACACACACACACACACACACACACACACACACACACACACACACACACACACACACACACACACACACACACACACACACACACACACACACACACACACACACACACACACACACACACACACACACACACCCACACACGTCCCTCTGGGCTGGGGGTGGACAGCCATGTCCAGACTGATAAGGGGATGGAGGTCCTGTGGTGGTAGGCCTGATCTCTAAGAGCGAGGCCTGGGACTCGGCTGAGGCTTGGCTGGGGATAGGGGGGACTCCGGCTGGGGTCCGGCCGTCCAGCAGGAGGCCCTATTCTCTGAGGCCCCCGCTGGGCTGTGCCTTTACTCAGGGCCTCCAAATCCATTTACACCAGCTCATGTTTAACAGTCATACCAACACATTTATGATCCAGAAAGGCTTCCCTTTATCTGGGAGACCAGTGCAATTTGCCTCTTCACACCGTCACGGTACATCAGCCAGAGCCCTGGGGACTCAGCTCGTCATTTAGCCTCCGCCAGGCAACAGTCTCAGAGCCACAGTCATATCAGGCATCTGACGGTCAGACGGCTGTCATCTGCCTGCTCTGCACTGTGCATGGATGAATATAGCTACCTCTCTGGCTCAGACTGGCCTGGACCATACTGTTCATAATGATCATCCTCCTTCAGAGCCCTGGGGAGAGACCCAGGTCAATAAGCTATTCTAGAGCCCAGCCTTTGTTCGCCAACTTTATGTAAAAACAACAGACATACACACATTCACAAGCCAAAAAAGCCCCTCACACCTTCTATCTCTCCTTAAAGGAATACTTCAGTATTTTGGCAATGCCCCTTATCTACTTCCCCAGAGTCAGATGAACTTGTGAATACCATTTTTATGTCTCTGGGTGCAGTTTGAAGGAAGTTGCTAACTAGCGCTAGCGCAATTTCTAATTAGCGTTAACGCAGTGACTGGATGTCTATGGGTATCTGCTAGCTAACGCTATTTAGCATTGGCTCGCGAAACTATCTCTAACTTCCTTCATACTGGACACAGAGACATAAAAATTGTATCCACGAGTTCATCTAACTCTGGGGAAGTATATAAAAGGCCTCATTGCCACAATCCCGAAGTATACCTTTAACACACACATACCTGTACCCGTGCCTGGTTGAGAAAAGCCAATATGTCTTCACCTCCCTGCTTTACGCTGTCAGGATTCAGGAATAATACACTACCTCTGCTGCCACCGTCCCCACAGTACATTCATTTCATTTAGCACGCACTCACTGTACAGGATGAATTGATTTCACTTTGTTTGGTTTTGACAGCCATGTTTATTGTGCAATGAAATGTGGTGTGGCGTGGGGCTGACAGTATCCATCAACGCGGGCCAATCTGCTGACTGCCGGGCCAGATGAAGGTATTCATTAGGGCAGGAGCGCAGCGCTCACTCAAACACGACAGCCAGTGTCTGCGCCCCGGGATCGCTCGCTCTAATTTACGATGCCCCCTGTGCCGTTACTCTGCCACTGACACTGATTCAGCAATTTATATACTGGCATGCATGCATACGGGCAGAGGTGAGCCTCTTACGAGGAGGGGGACACAACACGGCCCGCCACCCTGACACCAGCGCCAGGAAACAAACCACTTCAATCAGTTCATTAGAGATGAGGCCCGTGAAGCCCTGGGTTCTGGTTCGCCAGGCAGCAGACGAGGAGGAGCACTTCCTCTCCAGTTCTTAACTGCACCAGCAAGCCATGAAAGGGAAATCTATGGCTCCTCTAAACAGCATTATAACATCCTGGTGGTTTTGTGTGTGTGTGGAGCGGAGTGTTGACGGGCTAAGCAGACCCAGACCCAGACTCAGAACAAGACTTGGCTCTGTCTGTCAGTGTTGGGACTGGGAGCTGGGAGCAGGAATGAGCCTGACCCTGGGCTAGAAGGTGGTTGCTAAGAGCCGCATGATGCAACCACTCCATGGGGACAGAGGACCGCGTCCATCCCTGCCACAGTGCTTGTGTATGGTCACATGGGAGGTCCCTGCGCCTCTCTCATTGGCCCTGCAGGGTAATCATGATGTGTCCTAATCAGAAGCAGCAGCAGCCACTGAGGGAGCTGGCAGCAACAGCAGGGCCTACAGCTCACCAAGCATCACCCCACAACGGTAACATGCAATTTACAACAATGCTGTTTTCTCTCTTCAATAAAACACCCAACACTGTTCTGACATTTACAAACAAGCATTAATTGTTTTTTTTGGGGGGGGGGGAGCGGCACGTTGGGGAAGCAGTTAGTTAGGTGTGTGATTGTGTAAATAAATACAGATGTTTAGCAGTGACAGGGCAGCCCCCTGTGTTGGGGCTGGGGAGGGGGGCGAGGGGGGGAACAGGGGAGGGCTGCTTAATCGAATTTTATTGTGATTCATGAGGCCTGCAGCTCAATGTGACGGAGCGATATGAGAATTTGCTTTTAATTTGTCTCTCCCACAGACGGTGAAGATGAGCAGCATGAATTACAGAGAGACAGAGAGAGAGGGAAGATGAGAGGGGAGAGAGAAGAGAGAGAAGAGAGAAGAGAGAGAGAGAGGAGAGAGAGAGAGAGAGATAGAAGAAAGAGAAGAGAGAGAGAGAGAGAGAGAGGGGGGAGACAGAGAGGGGAGAGACGAGCGCGGTCTCTCTCTGCGCCGGCTCATTCCTCTTTCGCTCTCTCGCGACTTCCGCTCGGGTCTCTCTTTCTCCTCCGCTCTCCCTCTCTCCCCTCCTTTTCTCCTCTTTCCCCCTCCCCTTCTTCCTTTTCCCCTCCCCCCCCCCCCCTTTTTTTTTTTTCCTTTTTTTTTTTTTCTGCCCCCCCCCCCTTTTTTCCCAAACCCCCCCCCCCCCCCTCGGGCCCCGGGCCCCCCTTTTTTCCCTTCCCCCCTTTTTTCCCCCCCCTCCCGGGGCCCCCCCCCCCCCCCCTTGGGGGGCCCTTTTTTTTTTCCCCGGGGGGGCCCCCCCCCCCCCCCCCCCCTTTTTTCCCCTTTTCCTTTTTTAAAAAAAAGGGGGGGGGGGGGTTTTTTTTTTCCCCCCCCCCCCCCCCCCCCCTTTTCCCCTCCCCCCCCGCCCCTCCCCCCCCCCCCCCTCCCCTTTTTTCCCCAAAAATTTGCCCTTTGGGTTCCCTTTTGGAGTTTTAATCCCTGCTTCCCCCCCCCTTCTCCCCTTTTTTCCCCCCCCTCCCTCCCCTTTCCCCCCCTCCCCCCTTTTTTTTCCCCCCCCTTTTTCCCCCCTTCCCCCCCCCCCCGCCCAAACCCCCCCGGGCCCCCCCCCCTTGGGGTTCAAACCCCCCCCTTTAAAAGGGGGTTTTCCCCAAATTTTGGCCAAAACACGGTGTCCCCCTCGCCAGGTTTCCCCCCCCCCCCCAAACCCCCACCACTTTTCCCAACCCCGTTCCCCCCCGGGGGTTTTCCCCTTTTTAAAAAAACCCCAAATTTTTTTCCCGCAACCCCCCCCGGGGGGCCCCCCCCCCCAAATTTAAAGGGGAGGGCCCCTTTTAAAACCCCCCAAGGGGGAAAAACCGCCCGGGGCATTAAGGGGGTTTAAACTCCCAACAACCCCTTGGGTTTTGAATTAAAACCTTTAAAAACATTTAAAAAACCCAAAGGGGGGGGTTTTCCCCCTTTTATGTTTAAATTTTTCCCCCCTTTTGGGGGGGGAAAAAAAAAATTTTTGCATTTAAATTTTTTTCCCACCCCCCCCTTTTATCACTCCAACCTGGCCAAGCCCGCCCCAGCTCCCGCAGCCCCAGTGGGGAGCAAATCAAACAACCCTCCACTAAAGGTATTTAAATACTAACTGACAATAAGGCCTCTCCCTCCAAGGGAGGGGATCAGCCCACATTCATGTGTATGGACAGATATGACACATGCAGTGCTCAGCACCCCTATTCAAGCCACGGCTCATAGTCCGCTAATTAAACCATTACAAATTACAGGTGATTTAAACCCTACTTTAACACGCCAATCTGGGGGGGTTCTCTCCGAAGTTGGATGCTTTGAATTCCAACATTTCTATGTGTGTGTAAGGGAACAAACAGCTGACATGTTAGCACTTGCATGCTATAGTTCTTACTATTGTCTCCTCCGTCTCCTCTCGCATGCCATCAGACTTAAAGTGGGGCAAGGTGCATTCCTGTTCACACCTCACTCTTACAGAATGAATGAATAAAACCTGGGCAACCTGGGCTGACATGCACTGTCTGGGTCCTCAACAACATGCAAAACCAACTCCCCGTCCTAAAGGAGTATGGGAATGACTCACACATGCACACAGGCACACGCACACTCATCTCCAAGGATAGGCCTATATGATTAAAACATAACTATTGTAAATCAAACGTGAACTGTATAAAGGGAATTGTCTGAATTGAGTAAATGTTTGCAAATGTAATGTTTTATCCTGTCATCAAAAACCATTTGAATTCATTGTTCTGGGAATCAACCAACTTCAAAAAGGGACACCCTGATTGATTTAATATATTACAGTTGTAACTGATATAAATGTATGCACTCACTAACTGTAAGTCGCTCTGGATAAGAACGTCTGCTAAATGACTAAAATGTAAATGTAAATATATTCTTCTGTATAAAGCCACCTAGTTTGAGCTCTAAGAAACACACTCCTATGGGAACATTCAAGGCAATAAAAGTCAGCCTATAATTCCCATGGCCTCTGGTTAGGAAGGAAAACAACATGAACCTCTCGAAACAATCATCTGATAATAAACCGAACAACAGCTCTGCGCTACCAAGACAAATAAACACAACACTGTCTGTTACTGTACAACAAAAGTACACTACTGTTCCTCCTATCCCATAAGGAGTCTATTAGTCTATTTCTACTTAGCCAAGCTGCCTTGCTTATTTCTCCTTGGCTGATATTGTCACAGTGTGCTGTGCGTTTAGATGAACTCTGTTTCCTGCCTGCCTGCATCTCTCAACACCCCCACTTTGTTCTCCCAGGACCCTCTCTGGCGGGGGCGCTTTAGACAAACACACAACCCATGTGCCACACTACTTCTACCAAGCCATATGTGAATGAACAAAGAGGCTGGGCTGAGGCCTTTTGTGGTATTTGTTAATGTTTTTCATCTGAGCTTAAAAAGACCTAATGACTTTGTGGTGAGCTGATGCATGTGGCTCGTGGCTTTACAAAATGAAGGAAATTCTATCTATTCCCATACCACGCCACTATTTTCCAATGGCCCTCGTTAGAACTTTGGCAGCTGTTAATTTGGTTGCTGCATGCTTTTCAAATATTAGTTTAAGCAACCTAAAGCTTTCTGTGAACTGCAGCAATGACAGAGGCCTGCTGTACAGTCGTCTTCTGAATAACACTGTTTCTCCTCTGCAGGGAGATTGACCCCTGCCATGACAGACCTACAGTCAATAGGTAGCAGCTATACTCTGTTCAGGTATAGTCAGATACTACCAGTAGTTTTCCTCATGTTGGTGAGCAGAAAGGTGTCTGCAGTACACTGTGCTGCTGTGGAACACCGTGTTGCAGGGTAAAAAGTCCCTGCTTTAAGACAATGAATAATATTTACATGTGGTACCTGGCTCTCCCTCAAGGAATCACTTAAGGGTAAGGGGATGAAAATGCTGTTGACAGCTATGAATTACTTGAAAATGGCAAATAATAATAATAATAATCTTATAAAATAATTGTTATATTTCCTATGCATTCTCATAGTAAACATTATTTTTTTGCTCAACATAATGCCTCCAAACAAGAACCTCAAAAGTAAACACGGATCTTGTTCTCCAAAGTAAACACATTCTGGTTATAAAAAGAGACTTTAATGTAGCGCGTATCATGATAAAACCCTGTTCACAGCATTCATCTGGTGGTGCTGTTGAAACAGACAGATATATTTGTGGAGATAGATGAAATGGTGACTGTGTTGGTGAGCTATGTGCATGTCTCTGGCTTCTAGCCACCACTCTCTCTCCCCCTGGGAAGAGGACCTCCGTGGCCCCTGCCTAATCCACAGCCCGCTGGGAACTCACTTCCCAGAGGCGTCTGGCACTAGCCTTTCCCTCGGCCCTGCACAGGACATAAAAGGGCACAACTGATCCCTGACGACAGGGACTGGTGCGCGCCTTGCTCCTGTCCTGACTCCACAGTAGCCACAGAAGAAAGGTTCCCACTGGGGTAACTGGGAGAGGCTGGGGACCTAGAGAACATCTGCCCTGAGGGCCAGAGGGGTGGGACAGAGTCTACTGCAGCTGACGACGTGGGAACTTTCCCTCGATAGCCACTAACTGCACCTCTAATCCTGAATTTATGGGTGTGATGTGAAAGCAGACATGACAACTAATTTATGTTTCAGTTCTTTGACTTTGTCAACAAGCAGGTTTATGTGAGGTAGACCATACAATTTGTGAAACATTGTGTGTTATAATTATTTTGTTGGGAATGTTGGGAAATGGGGAAATTGGTGGGAAATGTTTTTAAAACGGCTTTTAGAAGGGATCTAAAAGAGGCGAGTGCTCTTGCATTGTCCTGAGAAATATCTCTCCCTCCATCTTGAGAATGTTTCAGCTATTAAAGGTGAGCCTGATCCATTTTCCCTCTGCTCGGGGCTCTGAAGTGCCATGGAAACTGACACAAATATTTATGTCAGACAAACATTGGCGCATTGAGGCATTCCTCGCCACTGTTTACACTCCAGGCCCACAAAGGGAGATGACGCTTTGTCACAAGTGTGCTACACGAATTTACACCTCTGTGCCCAGGACCTCAAACAAGCGCAGCGGCAGCCGGGACAGGCCTGGAGAAGGGCCAGCTTTGTCCTCAGGCGTCCTGTCCTTCCCTCACCTACCTGTGAATACCAGGGAGCAGTGGGCGCCTTCAAACACCACTATCCCCCCAACCCAGCCCAGCTCCCCCTGGTCTACTGCTCTGGCTCTGGCAGCCCTCACCTCTCTCTGGTACACTATAGGAACACACTGTGCACTGGGGAGGAATCCAGGCAGCAGTCTGAAGAATTCACTGTTACATAGAACTGACTGGATGGCTTTTCAGCATGGGAAAACAGAAGGGAATCTAGAGGAGAGAAGTCTGTACTTACCATCCAGATCCTCTGGCCTGGTGAGGTCGATGACTCTGTGGCCAATTTTGCCATCCTCGCCCAGCTTGCTAAGGTGGTGACCAAGGCTCTCAAAGTGTGCCCGCTCCTACAGTACACGGAAACACAGAGGAACGAGAGAAAGAGAATGAGGAACCTGAACAAACTGCTGCATATACAGTACATCTCTTTTCATATCAAGAGAATAGCTGATCAGTAGAATAACTGAATGAGTCATCTCTGAAATACATTATCTCTTTGAAATAACTGCTAGCTCTATTGTAGAGCCGCTCCTTTGACATGATGGAAGTGGATTGAGCTTGTCTTTATCACCCCTGCCTGCATTCAGCAGATGCTATAATGTACGACAGGAGGGAGGGAGGTAGAGACAGTAGGAGCCAGGGGTGCTGTAAATAGAGTTACAGAGGAATACTTTGTGATCCTGAGCACACAATAGGGGCTTTGCTGTACATCCCCCTGTCTGTCTGTCTGTCTGTCTGGAGCTAGCGCCCAGAACTCAGCAGCCATCACTTATTCAGGGCTCATGCTTTATAGAACACACCGTGTTTTCCATTTTGTCATGTTGCTTTATGCTCAGATTAAACTTGGCATCATGTTGTACTTGACGCACAATGAAACCCTGTCATTCAGCTCGCCTGTGACAATATAAAATGTCATGTCCGTGTGCATTTACAGAATAAAATAACAGCTTTCGGGGCCCTCTGAATAGTTGCTGCACATTACACTTAATGTATTATGCAGGGGAGAGTGCCGACTGCTGCTCGCTCCATTGTTAAATGACCTAGTTCCGCAGTGAATGCGCAGGGCATTAGTACAGGGCTGTATTCCTCTCTAAAGACTCAAGTAGGAGATGGACACTTTGACTCAGCATGACACAAATAATCTCTCCCCCTCGGATTCGCCTGGAAGACACTAAAAGCAGGCAGGTTGCCAGGGTTCAGCCGAGAGCATTTGTTTTACTCCCAGGGTGAGCATTCTATCTCCGCCAAAGGTGCACTATGTGTACCCCTCCTCTTCCTGTGTCTTTTCTGAGGTTGCCTATCACACGCAGTTTAAACAGACACTCAGGTGGGCTCCCTATACAATGCTAACAGCTCCCCTGCCACACACACAGACACTGACACCAACACACACATTCATCTTTCACTGTTCTCTGGACTTTCACTCTTTTGTTTGTGTTCTTGTTTGTCCACCCACATGGGAGCTTGTGTACCTCTCCTATCAAAGAAAATGTAATGTACCATTACACTTCAGTCACTGGAGGTTAATACAGAACATCATATGCAATACAATGCTGTTTGATTTACAGTACCAGTCAAAAGTTTGGACACACTTACTCATTCCAGGGTTTCTCTTTATTTTTACTATTTTCTACATTGTAGAATAATAGTGAAGACATCAAAACTATGAAATAACACATATGGAATCATGTAGTAACCAAGAAAGTGATAAACAAATCAAAATATATTTTATATTTGAGATTCTTCAAAGTAGCCACCCTTTGCCTTGATGACAGCTTTGCACACTCATGGCATTCTCTCAACCAGCTTCATGAGGTAGTCACCTGGAATGCATTTCAATTAACAGGTGTGCCTTGTTAAAAGTTAACTTGTGGAATATCTTTCCTTCTTGCATTTGAGCCAATCAGTTGTGTTGTGACAAGGTATGGGTGGTATACAGAAGATAGCCCTATTTGGTAAAATACCAAGTCCATATTATTGAAGAACAGCTCAAATAAGCAAAGAGAAATGACAGGCCATCATTACTTTAAGACATGAAGGTCAGTCAATCTGGAAAATGTCAAGAACTGCAGTCGCAAAAACCATCAAGCGCTATGAGGAAACTGGCTCTCATGAGGACCGCCACAGGAAAGGAAGACCCAGAGTTACCTCTGGTGCAGAGGATAAGTTCATTAGAGTTAACTGCACCTCAGATTGCAGCCCAAATAAATGCTTCACAGAGTTCAAGTAACAGACACATCTCAACATCAACTGTTCAGAGGAGACTGCGTGAATCAGGCCTTCATGGTAGAATTGCTGCAAAGAAACAACTACTATAGTAGTCTCTATGGTGGTGCCACAGGGTTCAATTCATGGGCCGACTCTTTTCTCCGTGTATATCAATGATGTCGCTCTTGCTGCTGGTGACGCTCAGATCCACCTCTACGCAGACGACACCATTTTGTATACATCTGGTGTCAGGTTTTGGCCATGACTGTTCGGGTTTTGGTCACTAGATGTCCCCATTGCACCTTTTTTGTACCTTTTGTTTTTTCTTGATCTAATTATTGTTTGCACCTGTAGGTCATTCCCCTGTTAGTATTTAAACCCTGTGTGTTCCTCAGTTCCTTGCTCAGTGTTTGTAAGTTAGCACCCAGCCCCAGCCCAAGCCTTGTGTTATATGGATATTTCTCTGGTGGGATTTTTACCACTTTGTGGAGTTTCTTTGTTTTTTGGAGGTTTTCCTCTTTGTGCCTCTTGGCTTTATTTTTGGACATTGTGGATTTAGTTTCTTTGCCTGAGGATTTTTGTTCTTTATTAAACCACCATCTCTAGTACTGCTGTGTCTGCCTCATCTTCTGGGTTCTGACAATTATTAGTGACGGTTTCTCGCACCGGGTCCTGACAGAAACACTGAGCCATTATTATGAACCCAGAGGCAGCCAGTACCCAGGATCTTTTTTCCATGCTGTCCCACCATGAGGGGACTGTCCAACGCCACGAAGCTGCTCTGGTTCAGCAAGAGGCCTTAATGGCTAGACATTCTCAACTTCTGTCAGAGATGCTGACTTCCATAAAGCAGATTTCGGATCGACTTTCCCCGGCAACCGCTTCTGCTCCAGTTCATCCGATTCAAGGGCTCCTGGCAGTTAATCCCCTGGCGGAACCTCGTCTGCCGCCTCCTCAACGGTTCTCAGGGGACCCAAGTGTTTGTAAGGGGTTTTTCACCCAATGTTCTCTCTCCTTTGAGCTGCAACCATCGTCGTTTCCCACCGACCGGTCCAAGATAGCATATATCATCACCCTGCTGTCGGAAAAGGCTCTAGCCTGGGCTACTGCTGTGTGGGATGCCCAAAGTCCCTGCTGTGCCAGCTACTCTACCTTTGCTGAAGAATTCAAGCGAGTGTTTCAAGGTCCTACCAACGGCCCTGACTCAGCCAAACAGCTCCTGACTCTCCGCCAAGGTCGGCGCAGCGTGACGGACTATGCCATCCAGTTCCGCACTGTGGCAGCAGCAAGTGGCTGGAACGACGAGGCGCTCACAGTGTGTTTTTTGAAGGGTCTTTCTGACACCATCCAAGATGAACTGGCCACTCGGGAACCACCGGACAACCTCGAGTCCCTTATCAAGTTGGCTTCACGCATAGACCAGCGTCTGAGAGAGAGAGAACAAAACCATAGACCGCTCACCCTAGTTCCTATCGGTTCCAACTCCGAGTCTCCACCTTTATCCTCGCTGGCTCCACCAGAACCCATGCAGGTTGGACGCATCTCCCAGGCTGAGAGAGACCGCCGAATGAGGGAGCGATGCTGTCTATATTGCGGCAAACCGGGCCATTTCCGCTCCACGTGTCCCGGGCTCCAGGGAAACGCACTCTCCCGTGCAGGCCTGGGAGGACTGTAACGGGAAACATAACCTCCTCCCATCCATCCAACTCCCGCCTGCTCATTCCTGTTACCCTTTCCTGGGACGACCACGAGGTTTCTCTTCAAGCCTTGGTAGACTCTGGAGCCGCAGGTAACTTCATGGATGGGATCTGGGCGAAGGAGAATGGCGTTCCGTCTGAACCTCTAAGTGACCCCATAAGGGTTACTACGTTGGATAGAAGTCCTTTGGGATCTGGACTTGTCACTCGTGCCACTACCCCCTTACGACTTTCAGTTTCCCAACACAAGGAAGTGATGAACTTTCATCTGATCGCCTGTTCCGAGTTTCCTCTCGTCCTTGGCTATCCCTGGCTTCACAGCCATAACCCTCACATCGACTGGTCTGTGGGCACTATCAAGCAGTGGGGTCCCACGTGCCAAGCCACTTGTATCTTCCCGAGTTCCCAGAGTTCTCCTTCCGAGTCTCTAGAATCCATCGACTTGTCCCGAGTTCCCGAGTGTTACCATGACCTCAAACTGGTATTTAGCAAACAGAGGGCCACCAGACTACCACCCCATAGACCTTACGATTGCACCATCGACCTGTTGCCGGGGACCTGCCCTCCCAGGGGTCGGATCTTTTCCCTTTCTCCACCCGAACGAGCTGCTATGGATACCTACATCAAGGACGCTCTGACAGCAGGCCTCATGCGTCCATCTACCTCGCCGGCGGGAGCAGGGTTTTTCTTTGTGGCCAAGAAAGACGGCGGATTACGACCTTGCATCGACTACCGGGGACTCAATGCCATAACTGTCCGTAACCGCTACCCGCTACCTCTTATGGCCACAGCCTTTGAGCTGCTCCAGGAAGCAGTTGTCTTCACTAAGCTTGACCTTCGGAACGCATACCATCTTGTGCGGATCAAACCCGGGGACGAGTGGAAGACCGCTTTCAACACGCCTACTGGTCACTACGAATACTCGGTGATGCCCTTCGGCCTGACCAACGCTCCGGCTGTGTTCCAAGCGCTCATAAACGATGTGCTTAGGGATATGCTTAACATCTTCGTGTTTGTGTACTTGGATGACATCCTCATCTTTTCGAGCTCCCTTCAAGAACACACTAAGCATGTCAGACAAGTGCTCAAACGCCTCCTAGACAGCCATTTGTACGTTAAGCCGGAGAAGTGTGAATTCCATTCCTCTCGAGTACAATTCCTGGGATTTATAGTGGAACCCGGACGAGTCCAGATGGACCCCAAGAAGGTAGAGGCGGTAGCGGATTGGCCCACCCCCAAGTCCGTTAAGGAAGTTCAACGTTTCCTGGGCTTCACCAACTTTTACCGCAAGTTCATCAAGAACTTCAGCTCGGTGGCAGCCCCTCTCTCGGCGGTAACCAAGGGTGGCAACACAAGGTTTCTGTGGGGAAGAGAAGCTGAGACGGCCTTCCAAGGACTCAAGCAGCGCATCCTCTCTGCTTCCATCCTGACACTACCAACGGCGGAGGAACCTTTTGTGGTGGAGGTAGACGCATCAGAGGTTGGGGTTGGAGCTGTCCTGTCTCAGAGGGGTGAAGACAAGAAGCTTCATCCTTGCGCCTTCTTCTCTCACCGGCTTACCCCGGCCGAGAGGAATTACGATGTGGGGGGACCGTGAACTCCTAGCGGTTAAGATGGCATTGAAGGAATGGAGACACTGGCTCGAGGGGGCTTCTCAACCGTTTCAAGTGCTTACGGACCACAAGAATCTGGAGTATATCCAGCAGGCGAAGCGGTTGAACGCCAGACAAGCTCGATGGTCTCTTTTCTTCAGCCGATTTCAGTTTATCCTCACCTATAGACCCGGGTCGAAGAATCTCAAACCGGACGCCTTGTCACGAATCTACTCCCCTGCCATTCGAGAAGATACTGACATGACTGTCCTTCCGGCCGCTAAGATCGTGGCTCCGATCTCGTGGCAAGTGGAG